CAGGAATTGTGGACAGGATTTCTTGTTACTTCTTTCCACTCCTCTACCAGTGTCTCCCTCTATTCCTGTTGTGCTGTCAAGGGTGGTGTCAAGGCATGAAGTTTCACCATCTCATCCTACAGGAGGCTGCATGAGTTAACAGCATAGTTTTACAAAAATTAGTCAGGCCATTTCATACCCCTCCCAGCACTGTGGCACATACCAGCTAACCCAGAGCTGGTGTGCTGGCAGGGTGGGCACAGCCCTGCTGCCGGCGACTGGGAGGAGGTGTCTTCCTCTGCACGGCTTTGCCACCGAGGATGCTGCAAGAGCTGCTGTTTAATGAAATGCAGTTTCTCCGGACCTGTGCATTTGTATTGGCATCACTGAAGCTGGAGGCGGGGTGAGAAGGCGAAAGCTGGCAGGGACAGGCTGGTTCTGGGCGATGGCCCTTCCCAGCAGCAGTGTGGGCAGTGGCACAGCCCTGTGCACTGGGGAAAGGAGAATTCGCAGGAGCACCGGGGCTCCCTTCAGTAACCGCTGTCAAACCTCTGCGCCGTGGGCTGGCTGGAGGGAGAGCATCCATGGGGAAGGCTTCTTGCCGAGGGAGCAGCAGGGCAGCGCTGACCCTCGTGCTCCTCCCTTGGAGCGGCTCCCAAGGGCCCCCTGGTCTGAAGCATTTTAAGCTCTTGCTGCTGGCTTGACTCTTTCAAAGAACCAAGCATTGCAGACAGCATCTCTCAAGGATCTATTTCTGGGAAATAACACGTGGGTTTCAAAGCAGAAATAAGCAGACTGCTCAGCACAATGCATTTGCCGTACTATGCTTACATTTGTTTTGCAGGTGGAGGGACTTAGCTACTAATTCCTACAGGATGAAGCACCAAAACCTGGTTTTTAGGGAGCAGGATGCTCCAAGGTTAATGCTTCAGCACCTTATACAACAACCCTGTTTCACCTTTATGCCTGGGAATTAGGAGATGATTTACAAAACAGGCTTTTTCCACGTTAAAAGCCCAACAAAATACACCTTCACACAGACAACCCTAGGAAATGCGTTTCAATGACTCACAACACGGTGTTTTGCAGGGCAGCTGTGGCTCAATGGTGCGTTTCAGGAGCGACGTCCTCCCGTGCCGCACGCAGCTGCTGTCAGACTCTCCTCCTCCCAGCCAGCCGGCGTGTGGCAGGGCAGGGGACGGACACCCGCCTGTAAAGACAGGCTCTTGTTCTGCCAGAAAGCAATTTAACTAGGTTGGCAAAATCCCTTGAATGGACGCTGTTAAATTGTGTTCAGATTGTTTAAGCCGAGGCACACGATTGAATGAGATCAGATACTGCTATTGTGACGTGCAAATCCTTAATCCGCAGCAACTGCAGTGGAGAACATATTTAATCTTTAAGTGTTAATTGCTCTTTTATATACAGTATATTAAAATGCATTAACTATTTAAGGGAATTCATACTACAGATGCCCACTAAGCAGTAAATTTTAAAATCATGTATTTATACAGCTACCACTTGTTTGGGGGGGATGCAGGCCAAGCCCACAAAATTCACATGCATTCCTAGGTTTTATGATGAAAAATATAAAGGAAATATACATTGCTTAGGTTATATTTTATTTTTGAAAATTACTGGTATAAAATATGCAAGCCACTGAACACAACTGCAGGAACAGGGCTGACAGGAGGAGGCAGGGGGAGAAACGCCATCTGTCCCGCACATGGTAGCCATGGGGAGATAAATAATTTCTATATTCTGACCCACTGTGCTCCTCTAATTCCACATCTCAGTGTTAAAAAGATGCGACTTGGACCGTGCCAGCCTCCCCTGTCCTTCGGGGTGCTGTCTGTCAGGCGTCACAAGCTGCTTTTCACGCGACAGCGTTATCTGCTGCACGTTATCACTGGGCACGGTTTCTTAATTCGCGCATCTAAGCGGCACGCTTTGCCGGGATGCGGCGGGTGCTGTGCAGAGCTCCAGCCCTCCCTGCCCACAGGCGAGGCTGCCCGCGCGTGGGGCACACACCAGCACCCTGCGAACACAGGGATGTTTGAGGGCAACATTAGAAGACAGTGTGTGCCATCTCAGTACATACATTTATCAGCCAAGTGCTGCTCACAAGATAAAAGTCTTGCAAATATTATTGCTAAGGGACTCTTCTTGAGCCACCAGACACGGGTAAGCAGTCAAGAGAGCTGAAAATGGCCTGGTGCGCCTGAATGGTTTTATGCAGTTTTTCAGCAACGTAAAGCTTTTTAATCAAAGAGCTGTCCCATTTAAAAATCTTACCTCTTCAAAAGTATCACTGTTACCCCAAATCTACCGGGACCAGGTAGCATAAGAGCATATTCCGTGTTATTGAGTGGCCTGCGAGGCACAGGGTAAACTTTATTTTTGACTGTTTCAAGGACAAAATCTTTCCCTTCTAGAGCTTGCATCATTAGTTTCATCAACTGATGCAATTAACATGGTAAACAGAGCAGGAAAAACATAGTTACCTTTTCCAGCAAAATGTACTTCTCTCCTTTTGGTCACCAGCAATCTTCCCCAAACAGAGAGTTCAAGCTTAAAGCAAGATCCAGGAGATTGCAAAGATCCAAGTCTTGAGTCTTGATTTCAGTTACTAATAAATAACAAAATACACCTAAATTGCAGAATGTAAATGATAAGCTGATTTGATTTTACTAAGATTCTGGAAGACTCTTCTAAGAAATACCTGTTCATACCTATTGGTGCATTTTTGCAAGGTCATGGACACCACGCATGAGGGAGCTCCCCCTTTCCCATCCAGAAGCCTTTTTCCAGGCAAAGCACA